TTTGATAGAAACCATTTTGATTATACAAATAAGTACTCTGAAAGTGATATTTAAAGATGCTGACTTTCCTCCTTGACATTATCTTTGTAGTCTTTGTAGGTCAGGTCTTCTAACAATCAGTCTGGAATCAAGATATGGGCACTATCTGCATTTCTTTTATTGGTCGACCTGTTTTTATATTCTTATGATACAGAATTTTTTTCAAATATCCTACATGAGAAATGTATTGATGTGGTCCTCAATTCGATATTTAGATATATATCGACGGCATTTTATCAGTTCATAATAGTTCATTTATATTTTGATGCGATATATCCCACTGAACTCGAAGTAAGAGACAGCAGATCGTCTGTCACATATTTCATATTTGGGTGTTTTAATGACTTTAGACATTTTGATAAACCATACGACAAACAGGGTGACTTCAAATTTTCCAACGCCCCCTATTTATGTAATAATATTCCTATATCAGTTGCATATGGTGTTTCAGTGTAATGTTTCTCAAGTGATTCGGTACGCAAAAACATGTTTGTAAACCGATGCAGGCTACTCACAAATAAGTTGTTGTTATCATAGTGATCTCTACAATCTCCATTCAAGTCTGCATTTTGCGAATTCTATGGTCGTTATGATGACATTGTTTGCAAATACAATATACTTGTTATATTTTGAATGCCATGATCCACACTTATTTTTCGGTCATTGTTTTAATACTAATAATTTAACTAAGGATTATTCCGTTTACCTCTTCAATACAGAGGGATCAAGGCGGATGCTAAAGCTGTTACTCTTCTTTTCCACTAGAGTTCACACACATACCAGGGTCGTTCAGTAAATAATGCAAATTGTTTTACCTTTAAAAATTAGTTCCTATGTAAATCTATACTTTAAAAAGTCAAACATTTCTAATGTTTTACTGAGCGGTCATAAAAAAACCGATGTTTGACCGCAGAGTGAGATATTGGACCTGTGGACGAGATATTGGACCGCTTACGTCACAGTGTAAGCGGGGTCAGCTAAATCTCATTTGCATTCGTTGGTATGGAAGCCAGCGAAAGATACATGTATAACAAAAAATAATTAAATAAATAAAAGGTATAACAAAACATTTATTGAATGGGTTCTCGAGTAAAATGCGTTTTGTCGACCCCTCGATCCAAACTATTTGCCTTCGGCCTCAGGCAAACGGTTTGATTCTTGGGTCCGACAGAACGCATGTTGCCCTTGAACCCAGTCAATAAATGTATAATGTCAACTAAAAATAGGGAAAGCGCGTAAAGCAGATTTTTAATACTTTCAATCCCTAAAAGCATTCCCTGTTAACATTTACACATGTCTAAAGTCTTTGTTCCAATGACCAGGGGACTTCAGCAAACTCATCTTTAGGGGTACCTTAAAGACACTGATAAATAGCATTTTCCATGATATACTCAAAACTGTAGTCTTCCTTTGATTGTTTTCATACGTTTTTGAAATAAAAAGATCTCATAATGGCTCATGATCAGATATAGGGAATATGGGGGATGGCTAAGCTTTGTAAACTTACTTTTCCTCAAAAATTTAATTTATTTCTCTATGCTTATTTGCAGCAGCGTTGTCAGGTACAGAAAAATACCCCGAGGACCGGTATTTGGACTTGCTTTGCAGGAAATATGCTTAACTTTCCTGAGTGAAACTTTAACATAAAAGTTACCGTTGATAGTCCATCCTTGGTTGTATGTACGTGTTTTACTGAACCTCTTGAATAAAAAGAAAATTTATAAAACATATTTGGAGACCTTGCTTCTCTTTGCAATAATAGGACGAAAGCTTCCTCTTTGATTCCACATTTTATTCTTGATCTTCCTTCTCAGCCCTAAAAACTATACCCATGTTACGACATCTATCACTCAAGTTTATCAAATCTTCTTTTTTGTAAAAATGTTCATTTTTAAATAAACCATTGGGTCATTTAACGTGTGTTTTTCACTTAAGCATTTGTAAGGAAATAAGGCACCCATCTGATAGAATTATTGTTAGATTTATTTCATATGTCAGAACTCTATAAACTGTTGTGACAATGAAATGTTTAGCGTCTTAGCAATATCTATCAAAGTAAATCTGGCATTTTCAGATATCATGTTTCTCATAAAATTGATATTTTTGGTGCCCCTACAGATTTCGATTGACCAGTTTGTCTGCGATCTTTTACTTGTACTTTTTTACTTTTTAATTTCCGAATCCATCTGGAAACTATTCAGCGTGAAAGATTATAGTCTTTCTACATATTAAAATCATATCTTTGATATTGGTTCTTCAGCTATCAATGTAATAAAGCACAGTTTTCACATAAGCCCTCATTTTCATCTTTTTGGCAGAGGTCATTTTTAAACAGTTATCAGCTCAGTGTAGCGACCATGCTTACATGGAGTTTTCTATGATTAGAAGTACCTTACTAGAATTTTTCAACTGTTAAAAAATAAAATTAAATACTTCTACATTTATTATGATAAACTGTTTGTTGCATTAATTATTGAATGACCCTCGCACACTAAATGGTCGACATGTTCTTTCCACAACAGTTTTTCTTATTCTTTTACACACCGTCACGGTAGCTCATTCGGAGTAGGTAAAGCGCTCGCTCCATGATCGGAATTTCCTTGGTTCGAGCCCTGACAGCGACTGACCGAAGTCGACAAAAAATAGGTAAATACTGTTCCTTCGCCAAGCGCTTGGCACTTTGAAGTGAAAGTTGCGGGTCCTTCGGGTGAGACCTTAAAAACCGAGCCCCGTGTCACGGCAGGCGTTGGCACGATACGTTGGTCCTGAGTGCCGAGTAAAGGTCTAAATTTGAACCGGTATATGGTGACGTCTCTCAAACGGGAAGTAAAACAACATACAATCAATCAATCAATTATCATGATTATATTATTACAAATCATATGAACAATTTGTTGAACAAAAAAAATTTGATTACATATTAAAACATCGGGTGAAAGAAAAAGAGATCAGGCCACATGAAAATTTATTGACCTGATCATACAACTTCAAATGTTCTCCTAGTTTAGCGTTTATCATACAAGATCCCTATCTGTAGGCCTAAGTTTTTTTTTTATTTAACATCGTATGCAAAATTGGTAACTATCTTAAAAACTCTCGACTTCGACTTAATATCCTTTAGTTCACAATTTTGTCTTTTATGTTAATTGGAGTAGGCTCATATACAGTCTTTTAAATGTACCATCATCCTGCATGACGTAAAACTCTGAGGCAGCAATTTAATTGCAATATCCGTATTTGATGCCAGCAGAATATATTAATAATCAAACATTATTCTGAATTTCAATGTTATCAAAAATCACGCCCAATTTTTCAAATTAGATTTTGAACAATGGTAATTCTTAATTTACAATCAAGTAAAATCCACATTTTCCGACCCATTTAAAGATCTCATACAGGTCTAATAAGGTTGTTTTTACTATATATTTAAGAGACTATAAAAATTTAACAAAATGGATATCACATATCCCTGACAAGCAGGCATAATTAAAATGTCAAAAATGAGACGCCTATGGATACTATATCGCATGGGTTTTTGTTATGAAACAAAAGCAGAACATTAATTTACACAAATCTTGGTTTAGGTTTTATCACTTCATTGATAAAATAAAAATCTTTAACTATTCATCGTCAACGATAAATTACCTAATATTTCAGAAAAAAATGTGTATTTTTTAATATATTTAAACTCTTGACATATATATTTCTACACCCAAAGATAATAAATTCGACACGTTTGTTGAATGGCATATAGTTGCTTAAAATAAATATTTTGATTGCAATTTCTTTTTATGCTTGAACATGTATATTGTTTTTTTAATTGATGAGTGGAGTCCATCAACATTTAGAAATAAATGATAAATTCAGCTGATATCCTACTGCTATCTGCATTATCATGCAGCCCTCTTGCATTGTGTGAAACGTACTTGACCAAGTTTATCAACGAATCGGAAAGTTTGTAATCCAACCTGTAATGGATACATGCAGCATTGTTGGATTTACTTGTATGAAAAAAAAGTATTTATTCACTCTATATTCAAAGGTAAAGTAAAAGATTTCTCTAATGATATGGTGAACACGAGAGTTTTCCTTTCCTCTCCTTTTGTGTTATCTCTCTACGAGAATCTCGCAGCAATGGAGACACAATGAACTATCGAGTACAATGTTCTGTTATCTTAGCTAGATTTTTCAGTACTTGTCACTTATACCTACACATTCTAATCAGTTTATTCACTTCTACACTTAGAGTGTTGCATTGAAAGACTGATTACCTAATGTACTCAGTACGTGACAATAAAGACACTAAGTGTGTTGACTTTGTAGTAAGGAAGCCTCAACATATACAGTTTGGTTACCAGATCAATTATAAGCTAATATTGACTCCGTCTCCCACCAACTAGATTACGGATGATTCAAGTACTGAAGGGTAGAAAGTGTACCATAAAGTCAATACCAAAGTCATGTCATCGGCTTTGTCAAAAGATTTGGATCCTTCTGTAGAAATTCAAAATACACAAAGAATTACTTAGTCTGCTTTACTTACAGCAATAAATTTATTTTTATATCAGATTACTATACAATATATCAAGTTATTTTTTCTTACATCGTATGTAAAACATTATGGGAGTTGAAATTGACTTTTAACTGACAAAGGTGAACAAAATCACGTACAGAAAAAATAAGTTGAGAAACAGTAGGTGAAAAATTGAGTGTTAAGAAAAACAAATCCATTTAAAAGCTTCACAAATCACTTGAAGATATTTTCATGCATTGATTTTTTTTAAACTCATTTCTGATATCAATTGAAATACAAGTACTACTGGCCTATCATATACATTTATTACAAATACCTGTATAAAAACTCCAATAACACATTCTGGTGCTTTACTTATTTAGCATGAACATTGATGACTATTATAAGTTTATTATTCTTACACAAGTTAAATTTATCAACGATGCTTTCAATGGAATGAAACAAAAACGTTCAAAATATGTTCTTTACATAAAATATGAAATTTGGCACGTGGGAATTCCTGAAGATTTAAAGAAACACTGTCAGACAACCGACTCCTGGACCACATCTGGAGCACTCAAGGAGTCATCATGCCAGACTAGAAACGTCTCTTTGTCGTCCTGAACACAACTACTAGCTATAGTTTGTGAAGTGTGAGGTAATCCTACACTTATTTGTTCTCCAGCAATATCCACATGGTTTATATATGAATGATCATGCGAATTTTCTCCTTCGAAACTGTGTGAACTTTTATTGTTTCTTATATTGGTATGATGCTTTGGTTCAGGAACAGAGCTGCTTCTTTTGAATATTTCAGTGTTGTGGTGTTCTGTTTCCATACTATGCACACTACGTGTTGCATCGGGGGTTCCTGCTTCGTCCCAAGAATCTGGGAGAGTTGTATCGTAGCTAGGTTCCCATTCGTCTAAGCGACTTAGCCACACACGAACACTATCAGTAGTCTCTAACTTTTCTTTTGGTAAACTGTGTATGTTCACAAGAGTTATTGGATTTGATGGCGGCCATGTCATCGCGCCATCTGAGTCACATGACATAGAAGACCAATCAGTGGAATCTACATAATAGCTACTATAACTGAGGTATTCCGAGTACGATGAGTCTGACGAAGAATCGTCCATCGTGTATTCTGCAACAGAGTTGCTTAAAATATGCTTGGGTTTGGGAGAACCAAATTCCTTGCTGCCTATTATATTGTTGCATTCTTGTGGAAACAAAGGTATATCAAGCTTCTTTCCCATTGAGTATTTCTTTATTTGTGGCGATTTAGAAGCTATGTTTGTATTTTTTGTATCACTGACTTGAAGAGACTGTTTTTGTTTCGCTTTTGGCGATTTCATTTCGATCGTTATAGCTGACATCCGTGCACGTTCATTGTATTGTTCCAGATCTGTTTCTTTACTTTTATTCTGTTTGTTGCTTCTTTTACTCACATTCAGTGTATTCGTGTTTCTGCTGTTACTCGAGTTTAAATCTCCGTTACTCTCGCCCACTGCGAGACTTCCTTTTCCAGAGCTTTTACTTGACTGACTCTTTGACAGCTTTTTCTGAATTCTCATGGATTCAGATATTGGCGTAAAAATGGATTCTATCTTAATTTCAGACGCCGTATTACTTGAAAGATGGTTAACATCTCCAGTTTTCCTCTTCTTTGAATATTTATTTGAACTCTCTATTTTCAGAGTAGTCTGTTCAAAATCGAAAACATCTGATGACGAGAAATTATCGTCTTCGTTTTCTTCTATATAACCACAGCTACAAGATTTTAGGATTACACCGAATACAAAATTACACAATATAACAACAACACTGAATAATTTAAAGACATAGCTTTGGCTGGACAGTAACACCCAGGTAGCCACCATGATGATATTTTCCACAAGAATTGCACTGTAATACAGTACTTCTGTACAATGTATCACTTTGAATTTCTGTACGATTGCATCAAAAGTGCACAAAAGAGACAGTCCTAAAACTTTCATTATTTCAAATACTGAACATTGATTATTGCACTTTGCTTTGATTGAGAGTATCAGTATAAGTGTTATGAAATGAAGTCCAATGGGAATGCTGATCCAAAACGTTAACACAGAAGACATCACCACAATAGCACCACAACGGGAACTTAACATAAAAATCGTTCCCATCACAAGTGAAAATGTCCCACATGGTTTCTTGATTCGACGATCCCGGTCCAGAAACTCATCTGATTCAAAAAGTAAGTTACCGAGATTGAACATTGTAAACACAAAACCAGAGGAGATTATAGAAACACAAAAAGCTGTCACAGATATGGCCGAGAAATCTGCCATGTATAACATAGTATTTCCCTTTAAGAGAATATAGGGTATTGTTTGAATCATCGTCTGTATAGTCCTTAAGAAAACAAATTCTTTCCAGTCGTGTTCGTCATACAACATAAATAGTTTGAGGTACCTCCATAGAAGACCAATCTGTCCACAGTGCATGAGAATACAGATAAACCTCCCACAAGATTTCCCGGAGAAATCCATGGTCCTGGACACCAATACTGCAGATAAAATGTTTGTAACAACGAACCCTGCCACAATAATGGTGGCAACCAGCACGGACCTCCACAAGTCCTCGCTTGTCGCAGCATCGTTAACTTGAAGTGATGTTTCCACAATATAAGACGTCATGCTCAGAAGAGAAATTACGATTCCCATATTTCCACGCCGAAGACAGCATATTATTGTGCCATAGCTCCAACGTTACAATCCTTGAAAAAAAATTAAAAATTCATGGAGACTCGTAAATCCTTCTGGGGAATCTTGATAGTCCACAGACAATAGTGTTGTATTTCTCAATCAACTCCTCTTCTATTGTCAACTTCAACTTTCATTTAAAAAAACATATCCAGCAAAGTGAAATCAGATAACATCTCCCGTATCAATTAGCGAGGGAGCTCGGAACTTTCTTTGCAGTCCTACATGATAAATCCAAAGATTAAAACTACAAACAGGTGTAGCGTCTTTAAAGTCTTTGTCTATAAAATGGAAGCGTTTAGATCTTTGATCTGGTGATGCATTGCTGGTTCGCTGGTCAGTTGCTCGAAGAATTAATCATATCCTCCAGTCCTGTGGGAGATCCAGTTCGTAAACCTGTAAATTGAAAGAAGTCAAAAAGTGTACTCTTTAAGCCGCATACGTATCTAAACAATGTAAATTTTAAAGTATAACACCATTAAATTTAATGCAAGAGTAGACAAAATTCGCATACGTTGTGCAGGGAGGTATTGAATCGAATCAGATAAAAACATCTTTTCCGTTCTTATGAAGCGTTAAATCAAAATGAGGCTTGCGATCCGGGATCTATTTTCAGTGGTTTAATGACATTTCGTGTGATGTCCACACAAAAGTACTGATATTTATGCCTATGTAAATAGTCCTAGGTCTGAGTTTTTACCCGATACAGAAGTTCATGCACTGCAAGTCCCTTCAATTTGATACACAGTCTAAATAACAATCTCTTTCTTTTTAAACTGACTTTTGTATGGAAAAGATTTAGATATATTTTGAATCTATGGAGTCTATAATTACCTATGGTAATTCGGAAAAAATCGGATATCTATTCGCGACCTTTTCTAAGCAGTGAGCCAAGATTTATGCCTATGTTGAAAGCCAATTATCACATAATCACTTCGCATTCTCCTAAATATATTCCCTGCACGTCACAATACAAAACAGGTACGTACCCTTTCTCTCTTACCCGAGATCGCCTTTGTTATGCTGGATAGCTGTTTGGTTAATTGCAACATTTATATTCAGAGTGTAAATGGGATCAAGAGGAGACAGTTAATTATGAAAATATATTCCTTTAAAAGCAATAAACTGGTATTACTATATTATATGCTAGTTATTAAAAAAAACTGTTTTTACTATTTTATATGCTAGTTTTGATAAATATCACAGAATTTGAAAATCGAAAGGATAAGAAAAAAACCTAATGATTATGAACTCTGATGCCGATATTTGACAGATACCATCGTGTAATTCAACACAATTACAAATTTGTTTCTAGCAAGTGATGGTATGTATAGGGACAATCCTTAAGTCAATAAAACTTACTTTTATGTATGAACTCGAAATACAAAAATTCAAAAAATAAACATTTCTGTAAATTTTATAGAGTTTTATTTGTAAAGTGTCAGCAGGAGAGAGGCACATTAAATTTGATAATAAATAGCTCAATTTAAAGAGAGAAGTCATGTAACCTATTTTAAGCGTCAAATCCGAATTACGCATGCTAATAGTAAGATAGCATCTTAATACTGAATTTGAGAACTTTAAGAATTTGAGAAGGGACCGTCGCTTTCTAAGTTTTCCTTTTACTAGATAATACAGGGCGTTGGTAAAAGTGGTCTGTTACAGCTCTCCCACACCAAGTTTAGCTGCACTTTAAGAACTGTATCTATAATATAGGATTGGGGTTTTCTTTACGGAAGGAGCTTTTTTTACTCTTTCAAAACGTATTTTCAAACGTCATTTATGAAATAAATAAAATAAAACAATGCAAGGACCAGGAAATTACCATTTTCAATAAATATGGAAAATAAAAAGTTGTATATAAAAATCGAAGACATAAAAATATGATATATCATCAATACAAAAGATCTGTACTAACATTACCGAAAATTTCCCCATAAAATTTCCATATCAATACCATCAAATCGAACACAACACTGTCCACAAAGAACTGTAAATACTGAAGCCTTTGAACCGTACGATATTAACAACTTTACTTATATGAATCAAGATTTAATGTCACATGTATTTTAAAATGCCAGTAATTGCTTCTTACTTCCCCTCTTGTTGACCAAGGATTAGTGTCTATACACCATGTGTACCTCAAGTTTAATAAGTAAAAAATGTCAATCAGAACTCAAATTGTGAACCCCAACCGAGTCTTGCTAAGGCTTAGTGCTCGTATAAAGAGGTTATTGGCGACAGTTTGGTTCAATGTTGTACAGACCTAAGACGATTATTTACAAACATGGCCAGTGAATCACTACCAAAATGTAATCGCTCCACAGTCTATCTATGGCTGTTTTATTATACAGATTCCCGGGTCTCTGTTTCCTAATAAGGACCATTCAATTTTAACACCTGGGAGTTATTCATCTAATCTAGGTATAACAGCGTTTAAAATTAAAACATACACTAGGGATTAAAGAATTTAAAGAGATTTATTTGTCAAGCAAATAAAAAAAGGATATGTAGTATTTATTTAATATAGCTGGTATACCCTTCAAATCTTTCAATAAAGAATCTCAGTGCGTTGTCTAAATGTAATTACCGTGTTGTATATGTTAATATTTTCCTAATACCGATATAATTAATTAACTGATAAAAGCATAATTACATCTTACCGAACTTTCCAAGTACTGCAAGTCTGTAAAGAGATTGTCCTCAACAAAAGAATGTCGGATTGAATATCTTCATGTCAGTCACCGGTTTGAAAGGTATCTGGAAAGGCAAAGAAGAGTTACTGAAGCGGACTGCTTTTTATCACAAAAACTTGTTTTTGCGCCAAATACCCAATGCTATTATGTCTTTCGGGTAACAAAGATCATAGATTATTTCTTTTTTTAAAAAGTACTGTTTTATCGTATAGCTACTTTATCTATCAGTATGAAAAACGTGCAGTCGGCCTATCTATCACACAATCGATGACACTTGAGATTTCAGACTCTTTGTTAAGTACGTTTTTTGAATTGTTTGCAAGAATAGAAAAGCAGCTAGAAATATGTTACTTGTAAAAATTTTCTCACACTGTTATTGTTTCCACATTTCAAAGAGATGAAAAGAACTTTACATATGTTTCATTTTGTATCGAATTTTAATTTTCGGTTCGAGAAAATTTGGTGACACTTTCCATCATAAATCACGTGACCTAGCACGTATCGACCAATCTCCGATATCTTTCTTTCATCCTTTGAAAAAGAAAAGATAACAAACCGTGATAATATTTTGTAATAGATTTTTAAAATCCAAACCGAGAGGAAGAGGGTAGTGCAGACTAATTGTGAACAAACAAATCGCCATAAGGCGCCAACAGACGTCCATTACAAACCAGTTTGCTGAAATCTTCTGGTTCCTTGTTACATTAGACTAGTAAAATATAAAACAAATAGAACGCTCCTCTCATTTCAATAAAGATTTTTTAATTCCATATCGTAAATCAAGGGTAGAGTTAGTTTAAATTCCACGTGAATCTTAAACAATGAAATCAATACATGTAGGTTATCAATCCAAGCTATATTTCCTCCATAGAAATAAGATCTTCAACACAGACATAATTCAACGGATGGCTTGTTATTGATGATGATTAACTATGATAACTGATAGACAATACATACTTATCTACCCCACTCTATCTTTCTTCTCTGCAGGATTTGGTCTACAGGGACTCTCTCAGACGGATGGAACTTTAAGATGACCCGAATGGGTCTGTTTGTGCCATAAGTTTTAATACAATGGGTGGCATTCTTCCCAGCTTTTGAATATTTTGTTTATCTGTTTACTTCGTTCTGGCCCTCCTGGCCACTTCATTATTATCTGGTAACCAGCCATGCTCTTAAAAATGAAATGATGGTATAAAAAGACCGAATCTATGTATTCTATCAGTCAGGAGGGTATGAAAAGTTTTTTTTTATTTTATTCCCAACTCTTTGTACTTCTGTCTGAGTGAAATTAAGTTTTTTTTTTTTCTAGTGTATGCCCTCAACCAAACAAAGACCTGTCAGAGTGAACAAATCAAATACAAATTGGAAATATAAATAAGATTCCTTTCGAAAATTTGCCCTGTCATTGTGTTCAACACAAGAGAAGGGTGCTGAATTACTGCACAGGGAGCCTTCAGTGACAAAAACTTTTCCATTCATGACCTGTCCAACAAAGTTGTTACTCGAGAAATCAAACTATAAAATATCTTCACTAATTATTTTAATGAAAAGTATCAAGAATCTAAGAATGTAAAGTTGACACAGGCTTGTAAAACCGCTCTACGTTTTTCCTTTTAATCGAAGTTAAATATTGAACTTGTTGTGAGATCACGACGTGACACAGTCTTCACTTAAATCTCTTATAATACCAATCAAAGGATTCGTGCAAATTTAGTGTATTTGCGACATCAAATTCACTCAGGATTAAAATACATAAATTAATGATTCTTTTTTATCTTTGTCAAATATAAATGCCAGAGGGTGGTCCTTTTACTTTATTCACAGTGATGACTTGTAACATGTCAAGTATATACTAGTCACTGCATCATTTGAAACGTTTTGTTACAAATATTGTTCGGGCTCACATAAATCTTAAATTCAGCGACATTCCACACCTATATATCAGTTTCTTGCTCTTTGATCTTCTGCATAATATGGATTAATCGGCTTTTACTTAATGCACATCTGTGCTAACATGCATATAAAAATCTACCTTACCTCTACAAGTAACGTCTGCTTCCTCTGTACAAGTAACGTCTGCTTCCTCTGAGGTCGTCTGATGAAAATGTGACAAAAGTAAGGACCACTGACGTTGCTAAAGCCGCCGAACTTTATCGTTTGTATGAAAAGTGAGGCTATTAACAAAGCATAAAAGTTTGGTATAGTTCGTCCATGTTGACACGCCGATTACAAATATCAACAAGAAAAACTATTGATTTTAATAATGGGGTCTGTATTACATATATCGTGTTAAATATTGCAAACACGAGCCATTGAACGTTAACTTATAGTTTATTTTTTAACAATCTTACTCATAAATGAAATCTTACGGTGTATACCATTCAAGGAGCGATAGACCCTGTTTAAGAAGATTAATATTTACCCATAGGATCAAACGAAATCTTATAAACTATACGGCCCGAATACGAGTTTAAATAGAATGTTGCTGTTGTATGGAGATATTGGCTAGTTTTGTTGTTTTGTCGAATTATTGACGGATAAAGCTGAACCAGGTCCCCATTCAAACTATGGGAATTTCCTTGTGTAAATTTCTTCGCCACTGCTATTCTTTAAATGCATTCCGGTATAGCCGAAGAACTGAGATTCTATTCTGATCTTACTGTCTGCCACACGGGAATTTTGATGTGATTAGATCAATGATTAATTATCCCGATTTCTTGACAAGTAGAAAAGCAAAGCTTGGAAGGATACCTTTTTATAAAAGTACATTGACAAATTGTCCAAATGAAGTGTCATGCAACTCTATCAAGCATTATTTGCAGCATCGAACACTCCGTGGAATGAAAATTCTTTAGAGTCCTGAATATCTTAAACGAAAAAGTGCAGTCTAAGATTAATTATTAAAACTTGACGCGACATTTCAGCATGCTAGTGTTCAAATCTGATCTAAAGTAGATAAAAATGAGGACAGGATGGAAAAATTAATATTTTTATATTTTCATAAAGTATTAAATAGCCCTTATTACAGTTCCAATGTAAGTAGAAGTTGAAATCCAATTCTATTTGTATCACAAGTACTTGTCAAAATATGGTGTATTTTGGGGGTTGGATCTGGCTAGTTTTGTAAGGAACACGACCAGAATTCGTCTCAGGTAGAAACAACAAAAGATCAAAGGGAAAGAAGATGGTTTGGAGTGTCTATAGAAAGAGACTCTAGCTCAAGGCACAGAATGAGAAGGTCCTTGATAGAATGAATTCTCAAATGCCGGGTTATTTAGTTTGCAACAAACTTAAATCAAATTAATTTCAATTAATAATTGCTCACAAATAAAATTACAAAGTAGATTCTTTTTAAATTTAAATAGAAAATCCAGACCAAGTACATTTCCACTCTCTTCACCTTGACAATATAAACGAATAGGAAAAATTCTTCTCTCTGAATGATCAACACAGAATAGACTAGTTTGGCTGGCCACTCGGTAAAGTGCAATTCGGGATACCCAAGTGAAAAAAAATTGAAAGAATTTAAAAATTTAAATATTGACATACTCTTACTTTCAATTAGAATATACATTTAATCATAACTAAAACTGATTGGTCCTCAAGATAAATGAGACAGTTATAGGATATTATTCTCATTTATCTCCTAAGATAGAGAACAGATTTAAAATCGATAAGAAATAGTGTCTGAACGAAAAATAAACTTAACTGGAAACAACCTACCTGAAGGTTTTTTTCACAGAGTTGTGGGTTATGTAACAATGAACTGTCGATCTCTGCATTCCTTTGTTACACATTTATTAAACCAACGATTGAATCCAATTAAAAGTAATGTATACACTGTATATGCACTCTCAATGATAAGCAAAGTTCTCCACTAGATATAGTTTTACATTATACGTGGTAAAAATATATACATGTGTTTACAATGCAAATAACTGTGCTTAATTAGAGGGTTCTCCTATAATAATAAGATTAAGAGAGTTTTTGAATTTAAGTGACAGTCCCCGCGCTGATAACTGCAGTCTTCTACACTACGATTTCTTTTCCTTATTCTGATAGTGAACGGGTTGTTTGATTGGTTGTTGGTTGTTTTAGTTTACAGAAACAATGTCGGCCACAATTTTAAAAAGTATACATTAACTTTGTATATATTTTGAAACAAACGTGACATCAAAAGATGTATACTGCAATACTTTTCAGGATGATTTTTTTTTTCAAAATAGATTTTATCTTTGTGAATAATATCACCCAAAATATTTCCTCAAGCAATTGCTGGTTTCTTTTTCTCTAATAGTATTCTTCATTTACCCACAGTGTGGCTTTGTCGAAGAAAACATTTATACCCCCCCCCCCCTATATATTTCTATATCATAGCCCATCTATACCAGTACAATTAATAATTAACATGTACACATATACTGAATAAGATTTCCCAATTACATGTAGCTCCTTTGGTAAAAAGTGCCCTTTCATTTGAACAAATGTAAATTCCTTTCTACGATTTATTAGTATCAGTACCGTCTCAAACCCATGTGTGGAAATAAAATGGACATGAAAACCCATGGCTTGTGTCGATGTGTGGTGCTTGGAGCTCTCAACGACAGGCTTTAAAATGCTTCGTAGAAATTTTGCCGAAAAGAAAGGGCTGAGGTACCCGTATATTATGATGCTAAGAGAGTTAACTCTCGTACAACTCTCGGTAAAAATAATTTAAACGATTATGACGATTCAACAAACGACAACACGAAGACTTATTAAAACATTGTGACGTCTGTCGAAGCTTGCAGCTATCCATCGATAATTTCAAACAAATTAACGCCAAATAATCTGGCAATACTCTCCATCTTTAACTTGTCAGGTCAACAACAGGCGGAACACTACTAGCAATAAAATTGCTCTGATCCCCATCAATCGACCGCAACCCAAGGACATAAAACTTACAGCAACCTCTGTCACATCCTGCCATTTTAATAGCAAAAATAATATACTGAACATCTTTCAAAAAATATCTGCTAAACGATTCAAAAACTACTCAAAACTAAAAATACGCCAATCATTTTATTACAGAATACATACGACTAATTATATCATTTTGAAAATTTACAAACAAAAATTTTACAATTTCTAGACTTTGTTTTAGCAAAACTTTCACTTTCTCATGCATACATGTACAAATGGAATTTTCACATTCATGTACCATATTTCCCATAAACATGTTTGAAACTGATATACATTGCTGCATGAAGAATTACAAACAAAATACCCAAAAAGAGTGTTAAAAGACAAGCAGATCATCTGAAATAACATTAAGAATGTCAGTTAAAAAATTCCTGCGTATTTCACCATTTTTTTAATTGCATGTGTATATTTTTCACATTTAGATTTTTATCTGAATACATTAAGAAATGAGTAGTTGGACAATTTATGATTCATAGGATCATATTATTGTATCAAAGAACTGTTATAAATTTTTTGAATAGGTTTTCTCTGTAAACAAAGATTCAGAAAGTATTTTACTTGGTCGAGTAATTATTTTTGTATGGAAACCTAGTTTTAAAACCTACAGTATCCTTTAAAGAAAAAAAAATCAGAACACACACAGAATAAACTCACTTTTTGCTGTAAAGAACCAGGTACAGTTTCAATACAAATCTGGCCCTGTATTTTTCCAAAATATGAAAGTGATGAAAGAAATTAAAATTCATGCTTTCTGAAATGTTGAAACTCCATGCAATATGATCAAACAAATCGTTTTTCTCATTTGACTTCCTAATGCTAATTGTGACATCATAAACTTGTGCATTTTTCCGTATTTTCTTACAAAGTTGCAGAAGACATCAATTTTCAGTGAAATTTTCTTTCAGATAATATAGACCACATGCATCGCCCACAAAGATTTTGAGAAATATGATTTTTCAAAGAATTTTACACAACATATCAGAATATTGAAGTGGGCGACGGCTGTGGACACTATTTTTCTCAAGGAAAATACCCCCTGAAATGAGTCATTTTGAGCCCTTTTCTGCTTAAAACTTAGAAAAATACGACATTAATGACACCATATTTGCAGAATGGTCCTCCTTCTTGCCATATTCTTTCATGAATTATAACACTCATATACTCAACTCATATTAATGCCAATTTCAAAACTTTTTGAAAACATTAAATTTTTAGGCCCAATAAAGCCAAAACCGTACCTTCTTCTTTACATGCAAGATTACATAATAAATTTTGTCTAATGAAAGAATTTAAATATAGTGCCCAAAAAAGTTTCAATGCTGAAGTAAACTGTTTCAAGACTGTACATTCAATGATGACAAAAAGAAAATATATACCTGGTACATGTACATACCTGTAGTATTCATCACCCAAGCATCATAATTATTATCAATATCTTTATACAGTCAAAACTCGTTATCTCAAACTTGAAGGGACCGAGAAAACACTTCGAGATAACAGAGGATTCGAGATATCCAGGGTGAAATACTTAAGGAATAAGTAGTTGGGACTTCAAAATGACTTCAACATATCCATTGTATTCAAGATATCCATGTTCGAGATGCTGAAAATCAAGTTTATATAATTTCTGATAAAACTTAAATTGAATTTGTTATGATGGTAGTGAACAGTAATACATGTTTATATTTAATTACCATTACATTCTGATAAAACCTTAGTTGAATTTTGTTCTGGCAGAATAACCAGATGCACATAAATTTATCAAGTTAAACCTGTTTTTTTTTTCTTTGCAAACACACACAACTTTTAACAACAATGTCTTGCCACAATGTAACTAACATACAAAATGTGAATAAAACTTTCAAGACACTTCTCTAATATACAAAAAGCCCACCTACAGGTAATGTATCAAGAAGCTACAGTAATTTTAAAAACAAATCATGTTCTATTAAGCATTATGGTTATGCTTAAAATCTACTGCCTTATTTTGACAAATTTAGACTGATATAATAGTAAGGATACTGGTTATTAAAATTCAGCTAAAAATGATGGAAAAAAATGAACTTTCCAAAACATAGACCTCTTAGAAAAAACAAAAGCAGCGACGGCAGAAGGAGGGGGGAGGGGGGGCTAAACAAGAAGTGAGTGAACAGGTTTTTTGCCGGGCCACATTTCCTTGGCATATTTCTTTTTCTTCGGTTCTTTTGAGACCTCTTCCACATTAAACACCACTGGTGGATGAGCTGTGACAACTGGTGCCACTGGTTCGTCTGGTACAATGTCAGGAGCCAAATTGGGCACATGAAGTCCCATTTTAGCAGCTATACTGTAAGTGTTTGGAGCAGATGTCAAATCACCATACAAACTTGGTGTTTGATAAGAGAAGCTTTGTAATCTCTTTGTAATGTTGTCTGTCATTGTTGTATTTTGAACTAAACCGGTGTCCATTTTTTGACGCTGTGAAAAACAAATAAAATTGTATTAAAATCACCAAGATTTTAATACTTTACGATAATTAAGTGCACTTTAAGCATTAGAAAGCCTTATAATGAGATCCGCTTACCTTGTTAGGGATAACTGTTGTCTGAATCATATTTCTAAATCGTCCTACTGAGGGATCTATGTCTTCTGTAGAAATCAAACAAAAAAATTCAGACAGTTACATATAAATCACAAAACTATACAAATTATAATATCTTCTTAAACTACCCAATTATGGCAAACTAGAATTGGTCTACACCAATAATACTTTACCTCTTTTAAGTAATTGAAATTCTTAAAAATCTACTGAACAAAAAATTAAAATGACATTAAAAAAAAACATGTGATCTTGCACTGCATACCTGGGTTGATGATGTCATCTTCCTCCCCAAAATTGACATGGTGGTTTCTGTGTTTCCTCTTCATTGGGTTAGGTCCTTTGTCTGATCCAATGTCTACCATTGAGGATATGCGTCTGTTGTGGGCAGTATTGAATTCAGTTAAATTCTGAAAAAAATATTAACATATACTAGGCAATTAACTACTGTTTCTGTTTTGTTCAAAATGCCATTTAAATACAGTTCTGTATAAAGAGAGTGAGCATAATCAAAAGTCAGAGAGAATATACATATGAACACCAAACTGCTAGACCTACAACATAAGAAATTTTTAATTAGGTTAGGAGTTTAATTATTTAAGTTTCTTTGGATTTTTCTCTCCATTCTGTATGATAAACATTTGATTTAAAAAAAATCTAGACATTTTTATTCTTGAGAACTCATTGGCCCTGCAAATTTGTAGAGAAAATGACAAAACCAGAATTAGCTATAAACTAGATGTGTCAGTATGACAGGAATGCCTCCCCCCCCCCCCCCCTTGCAAGTTTTAAATATGTGAATGTCATAAATATCAACACCAAACACAAACTTGATCAATAACAGTATTTCATAAATATCAAAAGAAATACCAAAAATCAGTTCATTATATCTACAAGAATATAATGTAGCATAAAAAAGTCTGGAAAACAGTGAATTATACGAAATTATCAAAGTCTTACGGCCATAACTTTTGTAAAAGTGTGTCAATCAGCATGAAACTCAAACTTGATCTGTTAGTAAGTCATCATCATCAAGAGATAAACCAAAATCAGTTCATTATATACAACTACAGCAAAAAAAAGTCTTGAAAATTAACTATGGTGGAATGACAATGACGGAATGAAGGACAGAAAGGGGTAATACTATATGCCCCAGCCATTTCAGGGTCAGGGAATAAAAATAAAATGTTAACTTGTAGTGATAAATCTTCTGCTACAGTTTTCACAAATATTTGTGGCTTTAACTTGCTATCAACAAATGTTATGTAACCTTCAACAATTAATAAACTATTTACCACTCTTAAACTGCTTTAATCAAATCTTCCAACAATTTATATAAACTATCCAACACTGTGAAATTATTCATATTGTTGGAAATATTATATCAAAATAAACTAGAATAACAATATCATATCTAATCTGCCATCTCTTATACTGAACAAATAGCAGATAATGTAAAACTAAGATGTCTCATATCCATAAAATAAAATCAGTTGATTACGTCAAGCTCCGTTTCCGTCTCCGGTAATCCCAGGAGTCCCCCTTCTAGGTCCTCCCGTCGTTTCTCCTTGTCATCAGATATCTGCCCTGTGATGACCTGAGGTCGTTCTCGTATAATGTAGATTCTAGTTGATGCCCCAAAATGAATTTCGCTGTCAATAGGAACTTGTTGTGGTTTCCTACTTTCCAGTCTAATATGTCCAATATGTGTACCATGAGCTGAAAAAAAATGTGAAACTTGCATAACATTCACTTTCACTTATAGCTTACTGTATATAACTTTACTGCATCTAGCAATATTTTACAAGAAGCTAATTGGAATTTATGATAAATTATTTCTATATACTTAAAAAATACATTTCGAGAACATTTGTTGTTGTTGTCTAAATGACTTACTGCTTCCTAAGTCTACAATGAAGGGTCGTGATAAGTGTTTGTGCCAAACAAGAGCAGCATGAACTCGAGAACATGATTGGTGGTCGATGCAGAAGTCGCAGAGCTGTTTGTTCCTCCCAAAAAAGTAGCACTTCTTCTCATCTATCATTAGTTTCTACAAAACATGTCTTAAAATGTGTATGGTGACTAAATTTAATTCAGAATTGTACAAATTTAAATTGCATAATAAGAACCAAGTCTTCAGAAATATTAACATGTTCAAGCATAAAGTATGATTAATTAAGTAAAGTCAAAACAGAGGAAATGACTCCAATTCTCAAAATAACCCTACTTTTTTGTATTAATACTGCTTTTTGTTTTGTAAGATAATATTATAGCACATTGTTAAATCTTAAAAACAGAATGTGCTGATACGATATCAATGTAATGTTGCACTCGTGTAAAAGCACTAGCTGCCATGTATTCAACAGCAATGCAACTGTCCAAGTGCAATTTTTATCTGCAAATCCAATCTTTTAACATCTTTGCCAGTCAAGTATTTCTGATCTCCTCCTCTCCAGATTTAATGGTGTATAAAAAGGTTTTTGATGGTATTCTGTAATAAATACACTGCACTCACCCCAGTGGTTGCAACATCAATAAAATTGTCCAATACACTGTACATGTAACATCTAAGTGACCATTGACAGGCAACTGCCCAGTTCTTAGGGAGTATGAGAAGAAATGTTTCAACACATATTCATATCCTCTAATGTCTAATTTGTTTCTCCCAAAGTACATTATATACAAATATAATCAAGATTAGTGTCCAGTTGAGATCCCTCTATTTGATTGTGTAATTCAGATATACCAGGTCTGGCACAATCTCTTTATTAAGCTATATACTGTACATGTAACTTGAATTAGCTATAAAGCATTATTACGCTATTCAGAATAGCTTGATTTAGCTATTTTATCACACTTTTTTTCTTAAATGTGGTATTTTTTCAGCATGTTCATAAAGTTTACCTTGGTGCAGTGATAGTATTCAACTTTGATCTCTTCTGAAAACAATGCATGTAAAAATATCTCATCAAATTGTGTCTCCTCTTTGGATACATGTATATATAAAGCAATTGATTTATGACCACACAGTTACCTAATTCTACAATGAAATTATGAAGGAGGTCAGTTCTGGTCAACAAAATAAATTATTGGTAATAATTCAGCACAATGTGAAGATATCATACTTATCCACGCCTCCACACACACAAAGTGGTGTACAGTTATCAAACAAAAGAAATGCATCTTTGCTTAAAAGTATTCAAAAGCTGAAATGTTAGAACTATCTTAGATTTTGATTGCTTTTTCAGACATGATTCTGAAGTCAAATGAAAAAAGCGGATTTATAGATGACCCCAAATAGGCTGGGGTTCTGGGGGCCACCTAGGCCCCCAGAAGCTCTGGGGTAAATGGTGCAAAATCCTGCATTCTGAGCATTTCCTGGCACTTAGTTTTCACTCTGAAATTATCTTCTTTTTAAGGAAAATAAATTACAAATGTTACTTATTACCAACGTTTTACCATAGTCACTGTCTTTGACACTTTGGATTATCAATTCACTTCATCTTTCATCTGTTATTTCATCAATTTCATCTGTTACAACATTCAACATTTCCAATAAATCTTAAAACAACTTGCTGAATAAATACTTTGAACAACATCTTTAACAATTTGATTCTCTAGACTTTATTCACATTGTACAATTTTCATATCCATTACCGCGATGGATGCTTCTAGTAAAACTTCCAACGATTGGTTGAATTAATGTTTCTAAAATCCAAGAACCAATGAAATAGCACATTACATTTAATCAATAAAGTAGGAATAAAGTGAACCAAAAACAGACTAAAACGGTATATTCGGAAAATATTGAGATACTAAAAAAAGCGGAATACGAAGTTTTAAGATGATTGAGCAAATCGGAATAGCGAAATTCCGCTTTAAAGAGGAAAAAAACATGCCTGCTTTTTTGATAGTCCATCATAGATATATGAATAGTCAAATATTTGCAACATTTTGTATATTTCTTACAAAAAACATTTTTGTGAAAAAATAGCTTTATAAAGTATTCTGAATAGCTTGATAATGCTGTATAGCTAAATTAAGCTACATAGCTAAATCAAGAGATTGCGCTGGACTTATCTACTGCAAGATTAACAAATAACCAGTTTAAGATATTTTCATATTTCCTGTCTGGGTAATAATAACTTCTCTTAGTCTAATAGATATGAAATATAACCTGCTTGGGTGAACTTTTGGAATATAACCCTTATTTGCAAATTGATGAAAATAAGTCTACCTGAATCATTTTGCCATCCTTCATACAATCCAAATGTAGTCCTGGTGGAGGCTTTCCAGCCCTAATTTTAAAAAATAGTAAACACATCTTTAAAATAATACAAGTGCCTTGTTACATGTTTATGTTAGCTGATTCATCAATGTCGCCAAATTAAGCTGTTTCATCTAATATCACCAATGATTTTATAGCTATCAGTACATATGCAAATTTAATAAATAATATGTATATTGGCGAGAGAAAGAAAATAATCAGGAATCAGAAAACAATGTCGTATGAACATGATGAATGCATGACTTGAAGTTGCACCGTGCCCGACTTGCAGAGCATTCATCATGTTTGTCAAAAACAAGGGTATATACAATTCATATGTCACAGTTTACAAGAGCATATAATTAGTTTACAAACAAATGAAGCAAAAAACAAAATTTTTACCACGAAGGGACCTCAAAATTGTTCACAAGTGGTCCAACTGTGCTGGACATTTTCAGCTCATGAGCGCCATCTGTAAATAAGGTTCAATATATATTTATTGAATTCCGAGCCCGATGAAAATAATAACTACAAGGAAAAAGAAACGCAGGGTAACGTAACATGCGGAAATTTTTTGACTGTCTAGCCGAAAATTATGAAAACTGGTCAGAGGGGCAGGTCTTTCATCTGTCAATTCCAAATCCTGGTCACGGCACCAAATGTAACGGGAGAGGAGAAAATGCGACGGATCTTACCGGGATTCGAATTCGGACCCCCTGAATTTCCAGCCAGGTGCTCTACCAACTAAGCTATCTGGCCACCGGCGATCAAATCCGTCTGTCCGCCAAAGTATATGGCTATTCGGAATTCGAATGTTTTGTTTCTCTTGAACACACATTCAGATTTCCAATAATGCAAAAAATCCTCTTTAAAAAAAGGATTACAATAAAATTTTAGTGACACATTGAACATAAAGATTATTTGGAATAATAATGTACATGTATTGATAATATAGAAATGTGGTAAACAATGTATGCAGGTCTACAATCTAAATGTCATAACAAATAATAAATAATAGGTCTGCAATTTAAATATCATAATTAAAGGTAAACAATTATAGACATACAATCTAAATGTCATAATTATACCCAAGAATTTTACGATCATAGATTGTTCAAGGTCATCAAAGATCAATATCTGGTATGCCCCCACAGACACCAATGATAGCCTAAAACGGCATCCCATTGGACGCAAATGAGTGCATTAAAACTGTATGGAAAGGCTATCCCACTTTAAATGTAGAGCTTTGGTCAGCTATTGCAGAGTCTGGGGATGCGATTGTCTTTGGCGGATATGCTTATCCATTTTGTACAATCCATGTTCAATGGAGTTTAAATCTAACGATTTAGATTGCCCAGGCTGCTGGCAGAACAGGATGCTGTGGCTTTGCAAGAATGCGCATGACAAAGAAGCCATATATGGCTGTGTATTGTCAGATTAAAATACGGCTCCATGATGCTGCATTATTGGAAATACGTGTGCAGGTAGGACATAGTCAGAGTACTTTTTTCCGTTAGTCCTTCGAAAATGAACCAAGACAGTCTTACTTATATATAATACTGTTTTTCCACATATTACACTACCAACACCAAATCTATCAACCTCCCGAAGGCAATTTTTTTTGTAAAACGCTTATTGCGAAGCTTATATGCACTCCGACTCTTACAACAGGCTTTGTAAGAAACAGATTAGTAGCTAAACCAAACTCAGGTCTGTAGGAAGCAATATCACTTTGAGGGGGCACAACCATACATTTTCAGTTGGGGGGGGGGGGGGCACTAGGTACTACGAAAATTCCTTGACAAGCCAAAAAAAAAAAAAAGGTCATCAGACATTATTATTGAGGGGGCACAAGCATACAGCAGCTAAGTTTTCTATAGTATTCTATATATCGGCAAAATTATTGGGGGAGGGCACGGCCCCCGTGCCCCCGGTTCCTACGGCCATGAAACTGTTTTGCCGTGGTGCTGTGGCCAGACTCTGTTGGTCTGAGACATTTGAAGTCGATATTTGCGGTGTTGTGGGGTCAGGACAATGGCATGAATAAGTCCTCTGGTGATAATTGCAGCATCTGTAGTCAATTGCAAACGGTCTTGTTAGATATTCTGTATATAGTTCAAGGATATCTAATGCTGTAGACATCATTGCGAAATGTTGATGAAAATTACGCAAACCACTGCGATCCTGTGCTGCTGATGTCACGTGTGATCTATTATATTCAGATATTGTTTGCGATCATTTGTTGTACCTTGCTGTTGGTACATGTATCTGTTTTTAGGTTAGATATGGTGCTTTGTGCAACATTAAAACATTGCGCAATTGAAGACTCTGGCAACCTACTTCCAGTCGCCCAATTTCCTTTTTTATGTGACATTCAGATGCAGCATTTTTAAATAGTTTTTTAAAAAGTTTTTGATAGCCCTTTTGTACCCGAAGACTGTAAATAAGAAACCAACAAATGAAAAGTGTAAAAAGACCAAATTTTAGCATGTTGCAAAATCAGGTTTTTTGTCTGTCAGTTTTGTAGAATGGCTGTAAATTTAACAAAAGCGTTAACAAATAATGTATTTTACTCAAATGAATCACATATGACAAAACTATTTTAGATTATTAAGGGTATTATTCATTATTTCTTTTATGTTTTTCTTTTTTGAACAGTATATAAATATTGCTTTTATTGAGGGCAATTGAAAATTTTCACCTCAAGAAAACAATTATAAACTGAGGCGGTAGACAACGGTTTTCTTGGGCTGGTAATTTTCAGTGTTTTATATATATATATATATATATATATATATATATATATATATATATATATATATATATATATATATATATATATATATATAATTATATGATGCTCGACGAATCAGATTCAACTAATTTACACGAAAGTATAATATTATTACAATAAGTGCCCGTGCACTAGAGGCATAAAGGGAAAGTCACCACAATACAGTGAAAATTAACACGCATAAACATGAAACTGATGTATTGTTGACAACCGAATCACGTACATTGATACAATATGGATGACTGATAAATTTTTTATGGTGTTCCGTTGGGGCCACTCGCACCTTCGCCTTGCGAAGACGAAAGTGCGAAGTTGCGAAGGCGAGAGTGCGAAGGCGAAGGAGCGATACTAATATCGCATTTTCGCCTTCGCAACTTCGCACTTTCGCCTTCGCATTTTACTTCTGTGGAGCTCTTTATCGTTATGAGTTAATTTTAGTGGGCTCTTGGATGTTATTGGTACGCATGCGCTAGATTAGTGTGACGGCGCCAAAATGGATGGTGAGACTAAACAGTTGTAAAAATTAGGCGTCGTGCTTACTATCAATTAATTATTAAAAATTCATTGATATTTTACAGGGTTATCTGACATATCTTTTAACCTGTTAACCAGTGTACAACTAGGCTTGAACATTATCCAGATTATGTAACTATTTTAAAACGTAATGCCCACTATATGTGTGTGCACTTCAAGACTCCTGTCACCTTTCTTAAATAGCATACCTTAATTCAATACCGTGGTTTAAATACAATAACATTCGAATTTCCTTATGCGAAAATCCTTGCTGGATATATTTTCGCAACAGACTGAACAGTTCATCTTCTTCTGCAGACGCCATTTTTATAAATAAAATTATCTTCAAATGATAGAGAACTCCACAAAAAAGGCAAGGCGAAAGTGCGAAGGTGCGAGGGCGAAAATGCGAAGTAGCGAAGGCGCGATACTAGTATCGCTCCTTCGCCTTCGCAACTTCGCACTTTCGCCTTCGTAACTTCGCATTCTCGCATCTTCGCCCTAAAGGCGAGAGTGCGAAGGTGTGAGTGGCCCCAACGGAACACCTTACTTTTCTGGTTTAACGTTGCTGGTGGACAGATGCTCCATCAAGTCAGTGTAAATGTTTATAACTCAGACTTCGTATTGGCATAACTCTAAAGTGAACGTGTCAATTTCTATGTACAATACTACAATGTCTAATTCAACAACACAGAATATAGCAGGAGATGACCAAACTTGGTATTCCTGTGTACTAGCGGAATTTGATCAGCATTCCTGTTTGAGTAATTATCAATGCGATACCATGCTCATGTTTTTGAAATGTTTAGCCTTAATCGGATCTATGCTAAATTTGCTACTTTTTATCCTCGTTTTCTTTGGAGATCGTTTTCGAAAACCTAATATTTTGGGTTTCATAATGCTTTCAATCTCTGATTTCATATTTCTTGTGATCAAATTTATCGATGCTGAATTCCGCAGCTATTTGAAAGCCTCAACTGAAGTGACCAGGTTTATTCTTTACACCATGCTGACAACTGCATACATCAGCTCGTATTTATTCATTATCTTGCTTTCAGTCCAACAAGCCGTCATGATTGCGTATCCTCTACAATATAAACTATGGTTGACTCATAAACGAATATTGTTAACATCTTTGCTAGCATGGAGTGCCGCATTTGGAACAGGAATTCCGTATATGTTTATACTGTGGAAAGGAGATGTTTCGGCAAAAGAAGCAACTGTTAAAACTTATAGCGTTTTAGTATTCATTTTCCCGGTCACAATGCTCGGATTGCTACAAGTATTGAAATCCCTTACGCCCAGGTGCGAGAGCGACTCGGCCAGAGGACTTGGACTTCTAAGTTATTCAAACCGAACAGTATCTCGTACCATTTCAGTTGTTATAGTGGTGTACATACTAACGACGACTCCAAACAACTTGAAGGAAATCATTCAGGTTTTTGTTTGCTTCATCACAAATCCATGGTTCTTTGTTTTGCATCACATTGGAACATCTCTCATTCTTGTAAATCATACCATACATCCGGTAATTTTCATAATAAACGTATTTCGATTTCAAACTCTATACCGAAAGTGCTTGGAAATGAGATTAAAGTGTTCTGGACGAATGTTCGATACTCGTCGTCAAAGTGAACAGAGTAGCATCATCTCTCTTTCTACATTTAGGTGGAGTGATTCCTTTCATTAAGACGAGTAAAAAAGTGCTTTGTTATGATGAAATATTGTTTTATAGATATGCTTTCCCGATTTTTTCCTCTTGCTATTGGATATGATATTTTTTGTGTTTTTCAATAACATATGCAAAACAACAAAGCTGATAATAAAGCATTGCTCAACTGCAGAACTGTTCCATTTTCGATGAAGTTAAAACATGAGAAGTGTCACCGTTCTCTTCAAAAATAAAAGACATATATACAGGGTATTAAAATTTGATAAAATTAAGAGATGAGTATAATTTCATACAATCATATTTATAGTAAAAATTTCGAAAAAGAGGTAACTTTTGGGGGGAATGTCCATATGCATATTTTGATTGGTTGGGAGGGGAAGGATCTGTGCCCCTGATCATAAACATGAATTAAAGCTTTCATTTACATTACATATATGTACGAATAAACATTGTGCATTGAATTCATTCATTCGACATATGTACAAACAAAAGTTTTCCTG